ACTTTTGACTTCTGTTTCTTTATTTATATTTCCTTAACTTTTCATTTTATATCGTTTACATAATCTATACTACCTTATAAACCAAATTTATCAAAAGTTTTAAAAACAATTTTTAATGCACAAGGTACTTTACATTTATGCACAAAGTCTTAAAAAGAACTCATAATGCATAGTACTACTACTTTATTCATTCAATCTTAAAATCTCTTAATCTACAATTAAAATAACATATAGTACAAGTTACCAATGCACATTATTACCTTTTCTTTTCATGTTCCCAATATACTTTTGACACATTTCACTCATGTATTCACCCTCTCATACCTCCATGTCTTCTCCCCATCCCCTAAGGTGAGATTCAAACTGATATTCACAATGGTTATTAAAAGTTCTCTCATTCATCTTCTATTCAATTGCTCTAAAACTCTCAGTCTCGCTCTCAATCTCTTGATTCATTGGTCTTGGTGTAAATCGAACACATTTGTGAAGTCATTTAAATATGTTGGATTTTAAATATATTGGATTTTAAACTGTCATACAATTTTTTTCATCGATAGACTGTAATTGGAACCATAACTCTTATTTATTCAAATTGTATTAATATGTAAAGACCAAATGTAACTTAATTATATCATCGTTAAATCTTCTCTAATAGAACCAGTGAAACTTCAAAATCGTTAAAATTCACAGCTCCCGCCACATTACACGGGTAGACACTAGTTTAAATAAACACATATGAATTTCCTTGGTGTATTATATATGTCACAAAAAATGCTATTCCAAAAGGGGCTCAAAACAGAAAAAGAAGGCTCCATGGCTAAATTTCAACACTCAACAAATAAGTTGTTAATTTCATGATATTGATACATACATTTATACCTATTTTTTAATTAAAAAATAAATATATAACCATAACCAATCAATTTTGATCTAACCTAAGAGTCAAAGGCAATAATTATCATTTGGACTTGGCATCAATAAATACAAAATCGCTTTTTCCATTGTTTTCTTAACCTTTTTTTCTATCTTTAATTTCTTGTCATTGAACACGTTTCTAGAATTTAACAACATGCCTTACATCATTAGAAATAATACAAAATACGACTTTCGTCCCTGGGGTTTGGAAATTACGATTTTTATCTCTATAGTTTGGAAATAGTTGTTATTTTCATCCATAAGGCTAATTCTTATCTTTAACATGTACAATTAATTATAAATTATAAATTATATCAATGAAGATCGTAATTTCACAGACACAAAGATGAATATAGCAGTTTTTAACAAACTATAGAGACGGATAACGTATCTAATTAGAACATGTATTAGCGAGAAAATAGTCTTATTAGACGATGAAAGTAATGGTGTCTTTGGTACGTGGACAAGACTGTTAACAAGACCGGACGACCGAGATTGGGGTAAGCAATTGAAATAATTGTCAAAAGTTAGGGTTTTAATTTAACAGAGATAGTTAATAATTAATAAATATTGTCCCATTTATTGGATGGAACAAAAAAAAAGAAAGATTTCAGTACAACTCACACTACAAAACAAATGAGTTTACCCACAAAAATCACTTTGGAAAATTTATGTCGGTGATTACTGACGGATCACCCAGAGAATAGCAATGGTTTGGTAGAATCCATTGTTTTTTTTTTTTTTGAGAAAATACCAATGGATTACCTAGAGAATCGTTGGATAATCTGTTACTGATTAATAATCTGTTACTGATTTGAATTACCCACAAAAAGTTTATCCACCAACTTTTGTGACGATTTTATGACTAATCATCCTTTAGCAACAGATTTTCCAGGAAAGTCTTCCATCTAGTAGTGTCAATCTTACCTATCCTATCATATCCTATCCTAGTAGAAAGTTGCGCCAAATGTGAGAAAACACGTTTTTGTTCTATCATATGCCATGTTATCGGCAAATGAAGCTTCGATTAGAAGAACGGTTATCTCTAATTTAGAGGGAAAACCCCAAGTATCATTGGTTCCAGAATAGGTTTTTATAGGAACTTATAGAATGATATTAAAATATGTTGAATAAAATGATGAGAAACAATGAAAATCGAAAAGCGGAACATTCCGGATGTCCACAAGGTAGGCTATTGTGGACGTCTACGAGACCATAATTCGTCTTTACATCCATTTTTCGTTCCATGGGTGCAACGAGTACAATCTTCAAAGTTGGTATTATCATGTTGCATACAGGGGCACGATAACGTACCGTACCAAGTGATAACTTGATCTTGTAAGTACTTTGTAACTCCCGAGTGTTCAATTTGATCTTTTTCCATGTGGGCATATACATACTACTATACTGATAATGATGGTTGTTCTTTACACATACAAAACCTTTGTTTTCACATTGTTTTATTGGTTTGATGTTCAAGATAGCTGGAGATATTTGTCAACATCATATAAGAACTCTGCAAAAAGATTCACATTGTGATTAGGAGAGTCAGCTCAACTGAGAAATAAAATTACCAGATTTTGTGGCTCCTACTTACAGGTTGACATTTCGAGTCTCTTCGGTCCTATTAAGGATTTTTTCCAGCTATTAATATTCAGGGTTAAAAATTTGCCGTGGTACGTGTAAGCTGGCTTGACCACCCAACCCTAGGAAACCTTAGGAGCCACAGATAGGGCACGATAACCAATTTCATCTGAGGTTCTCAATGGTATGAGGCATAGTGTGGAGGTGAGATCAAACATCAAGCTTTAGGAGCCACGTTGATGCCACAACGTTTTTCAAGACGTGACTTGTAATGGAAGTCATATATCATATGTATCATTACAAACACACATGCGATTTCCACTATTATTCAATAAGTCGACGATATCAAACAACTGGAATTATGCTATACACTACAAGTAAAAATGTAAGATACCAAAAAGATAAGAAAACTCAATTTTATCACGTTACAAAGATTGTAACATCGGGCTATGACATACAACAAGCTAGCTTAATTAACACGAAGTCAAACATGAGTTTTGAGTCAAGACAACCGTCACAACAAGAACAAGCTTTTTAAAGCCACGGTTTAATCACGTATTAGAAAGATCCTTTTTTGAGTTCTACTGTATTTTTTTTATTAACCTGGATATCCAACCCGCTATGCGAGCCGCCTAATCCCAAAGCGACCACCTGTTTTGCAGATAGTTCAGAGTCACTGCATTTGAACCTCCGTGACCACAAAGGGATTTTTATTCCTCATTGAATTTGAACCTGCGACCTCCTGGTACTTTTGACCTTTAGGAGCCAAGCTCGAACCAATCAGGCACCACCCTTGTAGTTAGTTCTACCCCATACTTCTAATACTGAAAACAAATGTATTAGTACATATAGTTATAAATTGTAATGTAATTAAAAGATGAAAGCCACGAGGGAGGAAAGGATAAGGGAAGTGCCAAAAAGTCGCAGGTTATAATAAACAATCAAAATCAATATCAAGAGGTATCTTTCACAATTGGAAGTAGTTGTAGCCCAGTTCACATTGAACAAAGAGCATATGCCAATTGGATGACGCTTAATCTCATATTAAATATCTTCTCATTACTATAAACAATATTTAAATTTAAAATATAATATTGTATTAAATACAACACCAAATCAAAACAAATGCACAAGTAAATATAACAAAAATGTATGTTTTTTTACAAAAATACTTATAATAAGTCAGAAGGGTTTAACTTATTCAAAAACTTCTCAAACACCCCCGTTGACTAATTTTTGTATACAAAAAAAAAAAAAAAAAAAACAGTTGTTTCAAATAAATGAAATTTTCTGAATAAACTTTTGGTTTTTTAGAATACCGCTATCATGGGTTTTATTTTTTCCGATTATTAACTTAGTAAATAATGTGTAGTGTTAGTTTCAAAATAATAAATGCGAAATTTTACTGGTCATATCGTCAAATTAAACTTCACTATACCGTTATAACATATGTAATCATATACAGAGGTATGATCCGTTTGGCACGAGAGTTTATCAACTTATATATTTTTTTGAACTCAATTTACATCTAATTATCCGGTTTATAAAACGAATGGTTATTATTCAAGATTTAATATTAACAACATTTACATTTATTATATTTGTGTTTTTTTTAAGATAAACATCGTAACACACAAGGACCGGTCGGAAGTTCTACCAGTGCTAATATTACGTCACTCAGACATATTTATTGTTGTTTCTATCAATTAAATCACTAGGATTTTCTTTTCATAGTATCCTATGAAAACTACATTAAAATCATGGATAAATTGATGATTGTATCTAAATTGATAGTAATATAAAGTTGTGTTACAAGATTCATATATTTTAGTTTAAATTAAGATATTTGACAATTGATTAAGCCATTTTTTAATCTATATATAAAACAAAACCAATTATTGTCCAGAAGCAGCATTATTTATACGGTTATCTAAGGGGTTGTTTGTTTACCTTTTAATAGTTAAATTAATAGACAGTCTCTGAATCATTAAGAGGTGAATCTTGTTTGGCAAAAAAAAAATATGCCTCTTAATGGCTCTAAAACCCTTTGAATGATTTTGTATCATGGGTCTCCTTTAACCATTCAGCATCCTAATTCCATTGTAAACAATTACAGAGCAATTATATTCTATTTTGCATTATATCATAAGAGCATTCTAATCATTCTACACCAAACCATTCAACAATTGCCAAACAACCCCAAAGAATGTATTATTCGAATAGTTTAATAAATTAATATTGATGAAATGAAATAAAACCCTCTCTTTTCAGATTTGGCTTTATTTCACATTTGCCTGCACGTCCCTTAGACTATTCAATTGCCCATCTGTCACCATTTTGGACCCCATATAATTCATTTGGATCAACCTCATTCTTTCACCACCTTCCTCCATCTCTCTCTCTCTCTCTCTCTCTCTCTCTCAAGTTCTGCCATTGATTCATTCCAGCCATCAGCTAGCCATAGTAACTGTATATACATACATATCCAAGTATATATATATATACACACATACAAACACAGAAAAGAAAGAAGGTGGTCGATCTGTGTCAAGAAAGATTTGGGAGCTAATAGATCATGGAAGTCGGATTTCATCCGTTCACTATTCATCAAGAAGACAACCAAAACTCACCGGAAAACAGCGATGATTCACCGGCTTCCGCTCTGTTCTACGACACCAAAGCAACATCTACATCCTCTCCTAAACGAAGGTCAGCCAAATTCTACCACAAAACACACACACACACATACTTTGATTCACTATTACATACGTTAATTCTTGGATTTCACAGCAGACGAGGGACACAGAAAAGGGTGGTGCAGGTACCGATCAAAGACGTTGAAGGATCTCGTTTAAAGGGCGAGACGAATGCTCCGCCGTCTGATTCTTGGGCTTGGAGAAAGTACGGCCAGAAACCCATCAAAGGATCTCCTTACCCAAGGTATCTGTTCTTCCATAAATTGATCATGGAATCAATCAAGATTAACCTCATCTCAATATGTGTAAATCAAGGGTGAAAACAAGAATCCAACTAGGGGTTTTGAACAAATCAAACATGATACTGTTCAACAAAATAGCTGTAGAAATCCAATTATATCATAAGCTAATGAAATCTGTACATATTTTCACTGAATTTGATCCATGCTCATGATTTCAAAGCTTCTCATCTTAAATTCAAGTGTCTGTGTCTTCTTCTCCTTTTTGTCAGCACATGAGTTTTAATTTATATTTACTGATAACTAATCAAAATTATTGCAGTGAAATTTTTAGTAAATCATATTCTATTAAAAATGTGTAATTTTTCATTAAATTAAACATAATTTTAAATCTTATCGTCTTAATTTGATGTGTTTTTTTTTCTATTTCTCCTTTTTGTTGTATTAATTTGCTCATTTTGAAACAAAAACAACGCATAATTTTTTATTAATTTTAAAAATACTGCACCAAAATTGTAATCAGATCATATTGATACTAAGTTGTGTAAATTGTTTGTTTAAATTAAATCCATCGTAATAATTTTAAATTGTATTTTCTCAATATATATTTATTTTGTGAAAAACCCATATATATATATATTTTATACAAATATTTTTTTTCTATTTATTTTTTTTAAGAATTTAAAATACAATCGAATATGTATGTGATCTGTGGAGAGTGGTTAAATTAAAACAGATTTAATTAATAATATTAACAAGCCTCAATTATTTGTTTTTGGCAGGGGGTATTATAGGTGTAGTAGCTCCAAAGGTTGTCCAGCAAGAAAACAAGTAGAAAGGAGCCGGACGGACCCTACAATGGTGATGGTGACATATTCGTGTGAGCACAACCACCCTTGGCCGGCATCTAGAAACAACAATCATCACCACCACAATGCACCAGCGTCACCTCCGTCCACCACCACCACCGAACCAGCCACTTCCAACATCGATGACCAAGTGGAAGTAGAACCGCCAACCTTCACTAGGCAATCCGAGCCCGAGCTTGAGCGTGAACCTGAACCTGAACCTGACCAAAAGTTCACAAGCCTCGAAGTGGGATCATGTGGGCCATTCGCAGCAACCACGGACCAATACAGGTGGTTCTCAGACTTGGACTCCACTTCATCAACCATGCTCGAAAGCCCCTTAATGGCTAGGGACATAGTCGAAGATAGCGACATGGCGATGATCTTTTCGATTAGAGAAGACGAAGAGTCCTTTTTCGCCGATCTAGGCGAACTACCGGAATGCACGACGGTTTTCAGGCGGAAAGTGGTGGAGGAGCACCGCCGGAACTTGGCTCCATGGTGTGGTACCACCGGGTGATGACGTTGCAAGAATCAATAAGTAATTACAGAGAAAAATGTCACCTAACAAATTTGTCTTAACTGTGGGCAGGTATATGTAAAACTCCAAGATTTGCATACAGTGCGGCTAAAGATACCGAAAGAAGCAATTTTTAAAATCTTTCCATATTTGAATTTCTTTTTTTTTTCTTTTTATTATTAATTTCATTAGATATTCCAAGATTTCAGTGTCATGAAAAATAAATAAAAAAATGGGAAAAAAAATGTTATTGGGGAGAAATATGTCTCGATATGTGCGTAGTTAAGCATTCTATTGGCCATGCCACTTTAACCAAAGTTGAAGATAGATCGATCGTTTGCAATTTCTTTATTTATAATTATATTATTACCATGTGATTCAGGATCCATTTTTTATTTAATCTGGATATTTATGCGAGCCGATTAATACCAAGACGACCACCTGCTTTGTTTGTATTGCGATAATGGAAACCCTAAGGTATCCCTGCTCGATTCTCCACCAAACCATATATTACTTCTTGAGCCCTTACGGTTTTTACTCTTCATGGTGGCTCATATAATTCTCGATCTTCAAACAAGAGACAACGTCCATATTGCAACCATTACGATCATCTAGGTCACACCAAAAGCTACATGTTTCAGGTTTAATGGTTATCCAACCCTCCTAAGCATCCTCCAATGGCTACCCTTGTTCGATCGTATGGCTTTCACTCTCACATTTTATCCATGCATGGACATCAATTCTAGTGCATCAAATCATATATGTTTTTCTCTTCCATTATTTCATTCTTTCACAATACACCTCCTAAATTTCCAGTTTAATTACCATCATTAATTGCAACAAAATTGGGTTTATAAGACACTCTCAATCTCTAAGTGTCATAATAGACCACTTTATAGGACTTAATTTATAGGACCAAAATATAAAGCGTCATATCTAAATGTGTTGTAATAAGTTTATATGACGCTTTTGGGGGTCTTAACAAGTTTTTTAGAACATTTTTAACACAAAGCGTCGCATTAGCAACTTTATAGGACGCTTTTGAGAAATTGTTTTATAAACTCAATTTTTTATAGGATACTAGTTTTTATATGACAGTTTATCAAATAGTGTCCTATAAAGTTGATAATGGGACGTTTTATATTAAAAATGTCCTAAAAACATATTACGACGTCAAAAAACGTCATATAAACTTATTACAACACCTTTAGATATGACACTTTAGTTTTTTGGTCCTATAAACTAAGTCCTATAAAGAGGTTTATTAGGACGCTTAGAATTTGGGAGTGTCCTATCAACCCGATTTTGTTGTAGTGTTAGCAGTAAACTTTTTGAATTGTCACATCGTGATTTAGGGGACCTTTTTCACTGCAACAAAATAGAGTTTATAGGACATCATCAATTTTAAATCGTCCTCGTCTTTATATGACTCAATTTATATGACCACAAGATAAAAGATCATATCTAAAGACATTGTAATAAGTTTATAGGACACTTTTCAGCATTTTAACAAGTTTTATAGGACATTTTTAATATAAAGCGTCTCATTACCTATTTTATAGGACACTTTTAAAAAAGTGTCGTATAAACTCATCTTTTTATAGGATAGTTGTTCTTGTAAGACATTTTTTCAAATAATGTCCTATAAAATAGTTAATGAGACGTTTTGTATCAAAAGTTTTCTATAAAACTTGTTAAGACGTTCAAAAGTGTCATATAAACTTATTACAACGCTTTTAGATATCACACTTCATTTTTTTTGTTCTATAAATCAAGTCCTATAAAACAGTCTAGCAGGACACCTTCAAATTGGTGGTGTCCTATAAACTCAATTTTGTTGTAGTGTTTCCACACCAACACATACAAGAGTGCCTTACTTTTTTCACCGTTGTTGATGAACTTATGTGTCGCACATGGTTATATGTTAAGAAACATGAAAATGTTGACTTACTATTATGTATGTTAACGTTTCTTTCATTAATTTGGTTCAATGACTTCTCACATCAATTTTGTTATGGTCCTATTTTCGTTCTGATAATGGAACCTGAAACGTTGTTGTCAAATGAAACTCAAACTTGGTTCAAACCTTAAGGAATCATTCATCGTCAAGATTCTGTCAAATCTCCACAACAGAATGATGTCGTCGAACGCAAACATCACAATGTATTTGACCTCGCACACACCTCACATTCGCAAGCACATTTATCCATTTCCCTTTGGAGTGCTAAATGCGTTCTCCTGACTGTATTATGTATTATATCATTAACAAATTTAATGCTTATACTGAATCTATGTAACAAAAACTCCGTGAAAATTGGGTTTATAAGACGCCCCCAATCTCTAAGCGTCCCAATAGACCGTTTTATAGGACTTACTTTTTATGACCGAAATATAATGCGTTATATCTAAAGATGTTGTAATAAGTTTATACGACGCTTTTGGGCGTCTTAACAAGTTTTTGAGAACATTTTTAATACAAAGAGTCACATTAGCAACTATATAGGGCACTTTTGGGAAAGTGTCCTATAAACTAAATTTTTTATAGAACATTTGTTTTTATATGACAGTTTTTCAAATAGTGTCTTATAAAGTTGCTAATGTGACGCTTTATATTAAAAGTGTCATAAAAAACTTATTACGACGTCAAAAAATGTCATATAAACTTATTACAACGCCTTTAGATAGGACACTTTATTTGTTTTGATCCTATAAACTAAGTCCTATAAAGAGGTCTATTAAGACGCTTATAACTTGGGAGTGTTCTATAAACCCGATTTTGTTGTAGTGACATAAACAATCGTCAATACAAATGCACCAAACTAAAAGTTATTGTAATAATTAAAGATTAACACTTGTAAAAATAGGAAAATGGTTTAGTACTATCCAGTTTTGAATCGTGGTCAGTTGTGGGAGATAAGGATCATGAGAAGCAGTCTATTTTTGAAAGTACTTAAGGGGGTGTTTGGGATTGCTTATTTGAAATAACTTATGCTTTTCTATAAAAGTATTTATCAACTTATTGTAAGTCAGAAGAGTTTAACTTATTTAAAAACTCTTTATTATCGGTTTGACACTGGTATAAGTTGTTTATACAAATCATTCAGAAGTGCTTATTACTAATGTCACAGTGTAATAAGTCAATAAGTTGTTTTTATAAGCAATCTCAAACACCCCTAACTAGAAACTCAACAAGATCCGATGAAACGAAGTTAATGCATATCTATAAATTTTGAATTTTATTTCTTGGAATATTCGAAAAAAATAGTTTCACCTACTATCAACGAAAACCATGTGCTTCATCATCAGAATGTCAATTGAAGTATTTGACTTTCAAGCAAAAATTGGCTGGATCCATTTCATTTAGGCATATCAATTATTTGTTAGTTATAACACATCATTTGCATAATTACAATAAAAATAATGATGACGACAACGACGATGATGATAATTTAATCGTCTTAATGATCATCAACTTTCACAGGGTCATATAACTACCTCCACCGTCAACAACCACTATCCACTGTGCATCGCTACTATCGCCACCACATTTGTCGAAGAGAAAAGTTAATGTATGAATTAAGAGTCTAAAAGTATTATAAAAATAGGTAAAAGCTTCGAGGTTGATAAGATTTTTTTTTGAAAAATATGAACGTATAATTGATCGTTTTTACACTACAACAAAATCGGGTTTATAGGACACTCCCAATTTCTAAGCGTCCTAATATACCTTTTTATAGGACTTAGTTTATAGGAACAAAAAAAATAAAGTGTCCTATCTAAAGACGTTGTAATAAGTTTATACGACGTTTTTTGACATTGTAATAAGTTTTTTATGACACTTTTAATGTAAAGTGTTCCATTAGCAACTTTATAGGACACTATTTGAAAAACTGTCATATAAAAACAAGTGTCCTATAAAAAATTGAGTTTAAACATTCTCAAATGTGTCCTATAAAGTTGCTAATGTGACACTTTGTATTAAAAATGTCCTAAAAAACTTGTTAAGACGTCCAAAAGCGTCATATAAACTTATTACAACACCTTTAGATATGACGCTTTATATTTTTGGTTCTATAAAGTGTCTATTCACTACCTCAAAATGTCACTTAGGCAACAAATGAAAAATGTTGCCTAAGAGGAGTTTATATGTTGCGTAAGGCTAAGGCAACAAACCCGTGTTGCTTAAGCAATGTTGCCTTCTCAATGTTGCATAAGAACCAAGGCAACATATGCAAACAGAATATGTTGCCTAAGCGGGCTTCTTAGGCAACACACAAAAGGTTATGTTGCCTAAGTGAAAAACATATGTTGTTTTAGATATCAACTTARACAACATACTTTATCTGAATATGTTGCCTAAGATATCACCTTAGACAACATACTCTATCTGAATATGTTGCATAAGATATCAGCTTAGACAACATACTCTATCTGAATATGTTGCATAAGATATCAGCTTAGACAACATACTCTATTTGAATATGTTGCCTAAGATATCAGCTTAGACAACATACTCTATCTGAATATGTTGCCTAAGATATCAGCTTAGACAACATAGTCGATCTGAATATGTTGCCTAAGATATTAGCTTAGACAACATACTACATTTAGATATGTTGCCTTCGAACTGTAATTAACATAATATAATATTTCTTTTAGGCAACATTTATATTGTTTAATTGTTGCCTAACATTTTTGTGTACCATGATGCAATTATTTTCTTGCACACTTTCTACAAATGAATCTCAAACAAGCAAACAAACAACCAAATGTTGTATACAAACAACTTTTATAACCAAACAAAATTAATAAATTCAATAATTGAAAGATAATTGTTTTTTCCTAAATAAGTCTAAAGGTAGGCAACAAGTTCAATAACACAAATTGTTTTCCATGGACCACTTAARAGGAAGACGTTTATTTTCATTGTTAGCAATGTTTCTCTTAATCGTCTTTCCGGTGATAATTCATCTTCTTGCCTTCTTTGTAACCGGTTCTTCCATCGGTTCCACTTGGGTGCGGCGACAATTGATACGTATATCTAGAGAAAGTGACCCATTAGTAGGTGTACTCGTCTCTGATGACGCCGGTGTAGTTGGTGAGTTCAAAGACGGAAGGTACAATTGGCRTTGGACGGAAGGTGTACTCGTCTCTACCGAGTCACCCTCTAGGCGTGCCGTAGTCCGCCCCAAGACCGACGTCTTCGCTAAATTAAACGCTTGAGTTCTTTTTGGAGGCATATTGATCTACAAAAAACARTGTCTAATATGTTTAATAACAATACTATTGAATACCAAACAGAAACATAACAATACTATAGAAAAATCTGTTTTGAATACCAAACAAAAACATAACAATACTATACAATACTATAACTCTACGATGGTTAATGGTTGGATATTGTAATCAAGTCAACGTGGAAGATGTTGCCATGACAAATGAATCAATACATGTGCCAACTGTGAGTAGGTTACATAACAAAGATTGCAGCAACATGTTCTCATCCTATGGACCCACTATGCAAGTAATATATATATATATAACACACACACACATCTGTTGGATATATATACAGAACACACACACATCCTACTAATTTACCAAGCAACATGTTCTCATCCTATGGACCCACTATGCAAGTAATATATATATATATATATATATATATATATATATATATAACACATCTGTTGGGTATATATACAGAAAACACACACATCCTACTAATTTACCAAGCAACATGTTCTCATCCTATGAACCCACTATGCAAGTAACATATATATATATATATATATATATAACACATCTGTTGGGTATATATACAAAAAACACACACATCCTACTAATCTACCAACCAATAACCAAACAGAAAGTTATCAGAACTAGCAAGATAGAACTACAATAACCAAACAGAAAGTTATATGACTAAACCAAACAATAACCAAACAGAAAACAGAGAATGACAAAACTGATTTTAGGAAAGTTATATGACTAAACCAAACATTTACCTGGTTCATGATAAAGTAGAACCTAGAGAAGCGATATCGATGGAGAGAGCTTAGAGGCCAGTGAGAAATCGAGAATCGATGGAGAGAGCCGAGAGGAATCGATGGAGAGGGCGAGAGAGCCGAGAGGAATCGATGGAGAGAGCTAGAGGAATCGATGGAGAGTCACACAGGAATCGATGGTGGGTTTCTTMTTTTTGTTATAAGAGGGAAGAAGGTGGGTTTTTTTTTTGGTAGGGATTTGGGGAAAAATTAGAGGGAAATTGAAATTTTAGGGGAAAGGGTTTTGGAGGGAAAGAAGGGTTTTAAAAAAAATCTGATTTAATTTTTTTCTTTTTTTGTGTATTTCTTTAAAWTTGGTGGGGTTTTGGAGAAAAAAGAGGGAAATTAAAATTTTAGAGGGAAGGGTTTTGAAGAAAAAGTGGGAGATTATATTTGGTAATGTATATATATAACTTATAATGTAATGTAAAAAAATAACAGTAATGTTGTTGATTAACAGAGTTGAATAAGAATGACATAAGTAACTTAAAATTTGTTTTGAATTTTAAATCCAAAATTTTAATTTATTATTATTATTATTATTAT